CCCCAAAACCCCAAAACCCCAAAACCCCATAACTGTTTTAACGTCATTTACTCAAGAAAAAACTCCATGATTTTATTTCGCATTTTTTAATTATTATTGAAAGTAAATTAGCTAATTAATTATAGTACTAAAATGAAATACAATAGATCAATGACAGGCTACTAGGATAAATTCTAGTTAAATAAGAAAATAGATTTAGAACTTCCAATAATTGAGTCAGATGAGGACCATACTCCGAAGTATTGAGTGCTCAACTAGAGGGAGGGTTCAAAGTTTCATTCAGGAGCTACTCAAATTTTGAATAAAAGCAACATCAAATTTCATCAAAGTTTTAATTAGCTTAAAACTTATAATAATAAGGAAGAGATGTATATTTCTATATAATTAGACCTCGATAAATAAGTAGACTTTGCTGATCACTATGAACCAATATTCGAGGTAGAGAGCAATCTCTATAGAGAAGTTAAAGATAAAAAACATAGAAGAGCAATATTGAAGGTTAGTCCAAAATAAAAGGCACAAAATAACATTGGTTCGAGTAATGATTATTATATGATTAAGTCTGATGGGCCATTAACTATCAGCGAGGATCAACCATCAAAAGAAATGAATTCCGAAAGTACATTAATACTTCATAATGCTATTCTTGCATAATCTAGACAAGGTGGGAGATTGAAAAATGAATTCAACTAGATTGAGAAAAAAATTTAGTGGATGAATATTCTAGACCAGAAGAATGTGGATGGGGAAGAGAGGAAAAAACGCAGACAACTTAAAGTTTTACAGATTTATAACGGTAAAAATATTTAAGGAATCGATATGAATTTGAACTAACGAAATTCACCAATGAATACCTCTCTTCGTGAAAAATCACAAATAAGAGCATCTTAGAATAGCGACTATAGGCATACAGTTAACTAGAATTAAAGTATAACAAGAAATAGTAATATAAAGCATAGGAGTAACATTAAGATAAGAAATATCCCTTAGGGTGAAAATAAATCACAGGATAGGTCTCAAAATTAGCAATTAACAGCTTAATATGATAGTGCACAGCTAGCAGCTGAACTCATGCAAAGACGAAAGCAGATTCAGAAGGTTTTAAAACAGCAAATATATGAGCGTTAAGGAAACTAAAGTGACATTAATAATAATAATATTAATCAGAGCACAATAAGCCAAAATATTACTATAGATGAAAATAGTAAATTGATAAAGGACAATACTTAAATCTCACTCTAACTTAACAATGAGTCATATTCCTCTTAAACAAAGCCATGCATTCAACCAGAGAGAGAATATCAGATTAGAGTTAGCTCAAAATTAAAACTCAGAAATAATCAGATAATCAATCAAAGTGCTCAATAAGGGAAGCCAATTAAAGCTTAAAATATCCGTAGAGTCAATATTGATGCCACAAGAAGTGCGCAAATTTCAAGGGAAAATTCCCCAAATTAAGGCAGAATTTTTATGCAACAGCTAAAGTAAAGGAAAATAAACTAATCTAATTAGGAAGCAATAGCGAATGTTGTAAATTCAAAATCATCACTTGGAAGTACCCTACCCATTACAATTCAGATTAGTGAACCCATAAATTAAAATGAGATCCACAATAATTAAAAATTTTTGCCTCACAGAGTAAGAATGTCTCCATCTCCTACTCCAAAAAGTCAAGTTGAGTCCCTTTTGCCAAAATCAATGCAACAGCATAAAAGACCTAATTTTTAAGATAATATCATTCCAACGGTCTAAGTTAACTATTAGAAAGATGGAGATATAGGAATACTAACAACACTAAAGACACCTCAATCTAGCAAATTCCAAAACCAAAACTACCTTAATACCCCTAATAATTTTTCCTCTGAGATAGGTGTAAATGGTAATTTCACCGCTATTCCTTCTAATCGTGCTGGGAGTAAATTAAGTCACTAAAGCAGCAATAGAACTTAAATGTTCTAGTAATGCTATTAGAATGCTTTATAAGATTTTCGATAGAAATCAAGCAAAAGATCAGGGGCATAGAGCAACCCTAAACATAGATTAATTTAGATGTACTTTATTCTTGATAATAGCAACCACACTGACGTCTGGTAATCAAATGGTTTCATCAGAAAGAATAGAAAGTAACATGGTGAGCTTAGGAATATCGAAGGATATCCTTAGCCCGTATATATGCAATAAAATATGAGAGAGGAAATGAATAGGACTATTCTTTGAAGAATAATTTTGAATCTAATTGTTTAATCTATTATATGAACTGTAAATACTTTCAACTTAAATTTAATGCTTAAATTTTTATAAAGCCAATACAAAATGTCTTTTTTAACCCATGGGGTTTTGGGGTTTTGGGG